TCATACGCTATGTTCAACAGTTGAACTCTGTTCATGCACTTTGCTGAACTGATGCAAGCTCTGTGAAGTGGGTGGTTTCTTCCACAGGTGGAATGGCCACATCAAGTGGGGCCCTGGTCGAAGACTCTGAAGAGGTCAGCCCCACGGCTCTTGGCAGGCTGCTGGCCGCCGATGTAGGTCAGGTACAGACTTGGAAGACATCCGGATGGAAGTCAGGGAAATGGGAGTTTGTCTTTCTCTTGCGCCGTGTCGATTTGTGGTGGATCTTTACACAGCCGGGCAAGCCCTGCCCAACAGATGCGGGGGCATGGAGGAAAGGGAACCACATTGCGCTGGTACGGGGCCAGACTGTGGTGGATTTCAGTGACAAAGAGGCGGGCGAGTGGTTTGTGAAATTCGGGGATGACTGCCACTACTTCAAAGCCAGGTCCACAGGTGAGGCAGCCCTCTGGGTGATGGCGCTGCGGCGAAGGGTGCATCCATGGAATGATGAGTTGCAAGGTCAAACAGCTGGAGAGCTGGTGGGAGATGCTGGCCACCATGACAAGGTGATGGGACCCATCAGTTTGAGTCATTCGACAGCTGCTCAGGAAATGGTCAAGGCGCTGGGGGCAGTTGCTGGTTTCACTAAAGAGGTGCTGGGCACTCTGCCCATCGCTGGTCCCACCCTATCGCTGCTGGGTTTCGCCATGGAGGCAGTGTGTGAAGGAGCAGCTGATGCTGAAAACATTCGCCCTGCAAGGGCACTGCTGGAGGAAGTGGCAAACTGGACCATGGAGGTGCTGCGCAGGGCATCGAAGCTGCATGATGAAGATTACAAGCAGGAGATTTTCAAAGTGCTGGACGGTATTGAAAGTGCTGCCCGCATGCTTGAAAGGCATCGATACAGGTCCACAGCAGGGAAGCTCAAAAACACGTTTTTGAAAAGGGGCACAGGGTCACTGGCTATTGTGGATTTGCTGAAGCAATGCAAAGATGATCTGAGCAAACTCCAGATCCATCAGCTGGAGAAGCTGCAAATTGCAGGTAAGGAGTGCACCATTGGTGCTGGTTTCTGAGAGGAGGAGCATGCATTGAGATGTATTGAACTATGTTCTTCTGGACAATTTTTACAGAGTACTCGGCATCAACAGCGACGCAGACTGGTGTAGCTTACCACATTACCACGTACCATTCTGCCCATTGCTTGCAATACACCTGCTGCATACTAAGCCCCGAAACCATTGTTGGCTGATACCCAGACTCCTATCGGCACACAGGGCAGTCATGCGATCTTTGAACAACACTTTTAAGTGCTTTTCTTTTAGCTTTTCACTGCAATATTGCTTTGGATGGGCCTGATGGACGGTGAGTTTGTCATACAGCTGAATTTTGTTCAGTCTTGAGCTGAGAGCCAAGTATCCCTTTGTCTTTGTATGTGTGGCTCTTTTATTGAGTAGTTTCATTGTATCTGGTTTGAAGGGCTTGAAGAGCAAGACAAGCAGCATGCTGTTGTGGTGGCAAATCAACAAAGGCTCTTGTGCCAAGCCAGCATTAGGCGCAGGAAACACTGTTCACCGTCCAACATCCCAACTGCGCCGGACGCGGTTGCTCTTGAGAGTCAGCTGTATGTCGTCAGAAACATGTTGCTCGAAAGCGAAACAAAGTGCATTGTTATTTGGGGAATGGGCGGCATAGGGAAAACAACACTAGCTCGTGCCCTGTTGAATGACCCTGAGATTGCCACCAATTTTGAAAAGCGTGAATTTGTGACAGTTTCACAACATCCCAATGTCACGAAATGCCAACAACAAGTTTGGGATGCCCTTGTGGATTCTGAACAAGGTGTGCAATTCACCAATGCTGAGGATGGCAAATTGCGACTGCAGACAGCACTGAAGGACGAAGTTGTGTTTATTGTTCTGGATGACATGTGGGATGAGAACATTGTTCCGCACTTTGATGTTGTGTCCGCAAAGAGTCGAGTTGTCATAACCTCACGAAACAGTGGAATTGCAACCAGCGTGGGAGCAAGGCGCTATGCGGCAGCTGCACTTGGTGAGGACGATTCGATGCAACTTTTCTGTAAGAAAGCATTTGCGACTGGGCAGCCTTTGGGGTGGCAGGCTCTGTATGTGAAGGACATTGTGAAGGAATGTGGGGGACTCCCTCTTGCTCTTGAGGTAATGGGGGCTGAGGTTAAGGGTTATAGCTCTGGAGAACAAGTGAAACTTGGCCCCACTCCCAGGGAAAAAAGAAAATGGGAAAGGGCCGTGGAACGCATAAAGACAAGTGGTGTGGTTGCTGGGGGATTATTTGACAAAGTGTTTGCCATGAGTTTCGATTCTCTTGACAATCCGCATCAGGTGGCTTTGCTGGACTTGGCAATGCTGCCTGAAGACCATGAAGCAAGAGAGTCTGATGTAGCGGAAATGCAGTGTTGCAATGGCCTCAGCACTGATGAAGCATATGAGGTGCTGGAGGAATTGGAGCAAAGATCCTTGATCATTCGCACTGGTGAAGATGCATTGAGTGTGTGTGAGTTTCAAACTAGGGGTTTTGCAACATGCCATCTGCATGATGTGGTTCGTGACAGTGCACTGAGACTGATGACAAATCAGCCATTTGTGGAGAGCTGCCGTCTGGTGTCCCACCATTTGAAGAAGGAATTGCCTTTCAAAGATCAGGGACTGCTGGCAACAAAGTTTTCCACAACGCACAGCATTGGGCAGGACAGCGATCTAGATTTATGTGCTCTGAACATGCCCAATTTGCGAGCCCTGGTCTTGAGGAATGCAGAGTTGTTGGGTGTGCCTGTAAACTTGCTCTCTGCAAGCCTTGTGGTCATTGATTTGGCATTTTCGGGAGTTGCCGTCCTACCTTCAGAAGTTGCGTGTGCTACATCCGCGAGGGTGCTGCGATTGGATGGATGTGATAGGTTGGAGCATCTGCCCTGTGAAGTGGGCACCATGCAACAGCTTCAGGTGTTGTCCATGCGGGGATGCCAAGGCATATATGAATTGCCAGAGTCCCTTGCGAGGCTTTCAAATCTAAGAAAGCTCCTAATGCCCACTTGTGGAATTGCACATTTCTTGTCAATGGAGTTGGGCTCTTTGCAAAGTTTGAAAATGTTGGATCTGAGTGGCTGCTTTGGGTTGAAGCACTTGCCTCCTAGTTTAGGAGAGTTGGCAGGCTTGACGGCTCTTGACTTGGACAGTTGTTGGCAGCTGAGCTCTCTGCCATCCACCATTGGGAAGTTGGCACGATTGGAGGTGTTGCTCTTGCATGGATGCACAAGTCTTGAGGAGCTGCCTAGCGCTATGACACTCCTTCACAATTTGGCAGAGTTGGATGTCCAAGGATGCCATCGGCTCAAATGTCTTCCTCAAGGTTTCGCTTATGGCTGCCCTGGGTTGAAAATACTTCGTCTTCAAGAGAATTCACAGTTTGTGTTGCCAGACTTTGTTCTGGAATTGCAGCATCTGGAGGTCTTGGGTGTGGACAGGGTCTGCATGCTGCCTGGCAGCATGGCTCAGGATTTGAACGGCCAACGAGTGTCGTTGGAGCAGCAGCCAACAGAAGATTACGAATCCAAGCATCATATGGTGAGTGGCACTGGAGGCAATTTGCCCATGCCCTTCCTTTTCTCCTTGCGAGTGCTAGACTTCGAGTTCGATTTTGATGCTGCCAGTGAGGGGCACTAGCTGGCCAGGCCATGAACCGTGAGGTGGTGGTGTGTATCCCAACCTTATGTGTGCAGGTTCATCAGAGAGTGTATATGTGTGACAATTGACGATGGAATCGCTGTTGTGCAGGAAAGAGACACTCCTCTCCATTGGGCTGCAGGAATGGGCATGTTGGGAATGGTAGAGTATCATCTGACAGAAACCAGTGTGGACGCCCCAAATCTGGTGGGTTTCTACAGAAGAACCTTTGACATTGTGTTGAGGTTGCGAATTTGTCGGTGCTAATCACATCCAAAGGCCTCTTTTTCTGACACTGGCAATGCGAATCCACTTGTGTGCCCCATCCTTTGTTTGGCTTATTGCGCCAGCCTCATCTCTGTGCATTCTTTTTTAAGCATGCTGTTGCAGCTTGCAGCTCGCATCGATTCATCAAAGTTCCATTACCTGCGTTTTGATCTGTTGCTGGATGAAAGGGTGGCAACAGCAGCAGTCACCATCTCAGACAGATGCAGACAAATTGTGACCCATCATGAAGATTTGACAGGACTGCATTTCAACTGCCACTCAGGGAGCACAGGGCATTGAAATTTCAATAGTTTGCTAAAGTCAGAAACTGCAGAGACTGGTCTGGACTGGCCACAAGGTCTTCTTAAAACGCATCTGCCAGTCTAGGCGACAGAAATAGCTATAGCAAATGACAGACTGTTCATGGGATATGGAGAGTAAAGATGGTGGAAGTTCCCTTTTAATTCCTGGTCTTGTGTCCTTCCAGCAAGTCTGGACCACTATTTCTACCCCTATTTGGTCAGTTTACAAACATCAGAACCAACTGGTTCTAATTCAAGGGTGCTAGGACAGCTTTTTGATAGCAAATGAAAAGACAGAACAAGAGGATCCTGCCTCAGAACCATTGAGCGATTGATTGTGTGTTTGTGGGAGACAGTCGCGACGGGGATGGTGTTGTGTTTTGACCTGGCAGAGGGGTGCAGTATCACTGTCATGGCCCACCAGTCTTGCATCTAGGCAGAAGGAGCTGAGTGTGAGGCTAGAAAGGGCAGTGCCCTCCTCTGTGCCAAGCTGTCGATCCAAGTTGATATGAAACGGGGCCTAAGCAGTATATCTTTGGCTATGACATGTTCCTTCCAACTGACATGCATGTCCTTGAGGTGCTTCTTTTGGAAAAGCAGCAATTTTGTCATTTGCGTCAGTCATGGCTCAACAGTTACTAAGAAATACTCATCCACAGCATCGAGGGCATGAAGAAAGGCACTGATATTGTGAAGTAAGAGATGCAACAGAAGTCGACAAAAGTAGCCCAGCCTCATTGGCTTTGGTATTGACTTCCCAAGGGTTCTTCGTGCAGGGATTCTAATAAATGCTGCTGGCTGAATTCCTATTACCAACTGTACTGGAAACTAAACCAAACCCAAGCTCTAACAGTGTCTTGAAACATACAGATCCCAAAAGAACAACTCAAAACTGGCAAATGTGGTTCATTTTTTGCTCTCAAATTGCATTAAGTTGCTAAGTTAACTCATTTGTATTGGGTCCCTGTATGTAACTCTGCTTGTAGTGGTTGTTTCACGTGTGTTCTTTAGAACCCTAATTGTAATAGTGCAAGCTGCAAGGTGTAGTTGAGGCTGCTTTGCTCACACCCTGGAACTGTTCATTTACCCGCAGTTTGGTGACACGCCCCTCTTAAAGGCAGCTGAGAATGGACGCACCGCCACTGTCAAGTTGCTTCTGGACAGAGGGGCATCTATTGATGAAGCTGACCAGGTGAGTTGAGATATGGTCTCAAATTTCTGAACAATGCTCTGGGTGCACTGTCATCCAAGACATGGATCCTAACAGTGACTCTAAAGTTACAAATTTGGACCACCTTCGTGTTTCCGATTGAGTTGGTTGTTCAACTGGGTGGTCCACCACATTGGGTCATTGCAGGTATGCATGGCAGTTGTGGTTAAATGCATACCGAACTGCTTTGTGGCTGTTCGATGGGTGCTAGCACGGGTGAGTATGTGTGGTTTATGTTGGATTGCTCACTGTCTCCAACCGCTCATTTGCCTGCAGTTCGGCAACATGCCTCTCTTAAGGGCAGCTGAGAATGGATACACTGGCACCGTCGAGTTGTTTCTGAACAGAGGGGCAGCTGTTGAGGCAGCTGATGGGGTGAGTTGACACAACTTCTTGGTTTCTGAAGCGATGCTCTGGGTGCACTGTCTTGGAAGATATGGATCCAAGCAGTGACAAGATAACTGTGGCATGGATCCCAATGGTTGACTCTACAACAGTGACAACAGTGACAGGTTGCAAAATTTGCTGACCTTTCTGCTTAAGATTGCGTTTGGCTTGAATTGAATCGGATGAATTGCGCCGCTGCTGGTACATCTGTTCGTTGTGGTTGTTGCGGTTGTGTTTCATGGTGCACTGCACTGCCATATGGCTTAGTGATGTGCAACAGTGTGGGCCAGGATTGTGCTTGAGACTGCTTTGCTCACAGTCTAGAACTGTTCGTTTACTTGCAGTTTGGCAAAACGCCTCTCTTTCGGGCAGCACAGCACGGACACACTGCCACTGTCAAGTTACTCCTGAACAGAGGGGCGTCTGTTGATGCAGCTGACCGGGTGAGTCAACGCACACTTTCTGAAGCGATAATTTTGGAGCAGTCCCTTGAAGATACGGATCCCATCTGTGCCATAAAGTTGCAAAACTGGCTCACCTGTGCCCTTCATATTGCATTTGGATGCTGAATTGAAACCAACACAGTGAGTCGCTCTGGTAAATTTATCAATTGTAGTTGTTGCTGTTGTGGTTCATGGTACACTACACTTTATGGCTGTTTGATGCACAGTAACGCCGGCTGGGATGTGTGTTTAGGGATGCTTTACTCACAGCTGAAACTGTTCATTTGCTGCAGTCTGGCCACACGCCTCTCATATCGTCGGCATGCTATGGACATACTGCCACCGTCGAGTTGCTCCTAAACAGAGGGGCAACTGTTGATGCTGCTAGCCGGGTGGGATGATATTGTTGATATGGTTTCTCAATCACCACTGTTGGTGCACTGTCTTGAGGCATGCATATTTCAACAGCGATGCTCAAATTGCAAATTGGTTTCACCCTTTTTGGTCAGATTGTGTTTGACTGTTGAATTGAATCCCACACATCGGATCACTGTTGATGTTATTTTGGCTGTGACTATTGCCATGGTGATTTTGTGCGTATCACATTGCATTCATGACTGCTGATGCAGAGTAGGAAAGGCCAGGATGTGTGGTTGAGGTTGCTTCACTTACAGTCCAGAACTGTTTGTTTACCTGCAGTCTGGCTACACAGCTCTCATTCGGGCAGCAGAGAGTGGACATGCTGCCACTGTTGAGTTGCTCCTGAACAGAGGGGCCTCTGTTGGTGTGGCTGACCACGTGAGTTGACAAATTGTCCTGGTTTCTGAAGCAATGCTTTCAATGCACTACTTTGGAAGATATGGATCCCAATGTTGACGACAATAGTTGGCACAAGCGAAATTGCCTTTCTTTTGCAGAATGCAATTTGTTGTTGAGTTTGCACATGCATCGGTTCGCTGCAGACTAGTTTGCCACTTGTGTTTGTTTCCAGTGCTATGCACTGTACACTGCACTGCTCTTTTGGCTGCTGATGCGTCAACGCAAGTCAAGAAATGTGGTTAGGACTGCTTTACTCACAGCCTGGAATTGTTCACTTTACCCACAGTCTGGCTACACACCTCTCTTGTGGTCAGCATGCTATGGACACACTGCAACCGTGGAGCTGCTTCTCAACAGGGGGGCGTCCGTTGATGCTGCTAGCCATGTAGGACGAAATATGGTATTGGTTTCTTCATCGGTCCTGTTGGTGCAATGTTTTGAAAGAAGCATCTCCCAGCAGTGACTCTAAAGTTGCAACCTGGCTCACCTTCGTTATTTTGGTGGAATCTGTTTGGCTTTTGAATTGAATGATAGTCATCGGGTCAGTGCTGGTACTTCTGTTGGCTATGCTTGTTGCCGTTGCGGTTCGGTGTGTACCACACTGCTTTCCTGGCTGTTTGATGCATGTAGCACGATCCAGGATGTGTGGTTGAGGTTGTGATATTCAAAGACTGAAAGTGTTCATTTACCCCCAGGAGGCCTTCACGCCCCTCTTATTGGCAGCAGTGAATGGACATGCTGCCACTGTGAAGTTGCTTCTAAACAGAGGGGCTTCTGTTGTCGTGGCTGACAGAGTGAGTTGACAGATGGTCTTGGTTTCTGAAGCGATGCTCTCAGTGCACTGTGCAGGGGGAGGTTGATGCGAACAGTGACTGTAACGCTGAAAGATGAGCTCACTTTTGTATTTCAGATTTTGTGTGCATGTTGGATTGGCCATGCCTATCAGCCAACTGCACGTTGTTCCGTCAGTGGTGGCTGTTTCCAGTGCTGCTCAGTGTGTCCCAAACTGCTTGTGGTGCTGTTTTGTGTGTAGTAACATGGGTTGGGTTGTGTAGATGAGGCTGCTTTATTCAAAACCTGGAACTGTTCATTTACCCCCAGGATGGCAACACGCCTCTCATATGGTCAGCATTCTATGGCCACACTGCCACTGTCAAAGTTCTCCTGAACCAGGGGGCGGCTGTTGATGCAGCTAACCAGGTGAGTTGGCATACGGTATTGGTTCTTGAATCGAGCCTGTTGCTGCATGTATTGCAAAACACAGATCCCAACAGTCACCGAAAATGCAAAGTTGGGTGAGCTTTGTGTCTCTAGCAGTGTTTGGCTGTTGAACTGTCTCATTGCCATAGGGCCACTGCTGTTAATTCCTTCACCTGCGCTGTAGTATCTTCAACCCTCCCACATATTTTACTTACGATGTTGCATTGCAGTTTTTTTGACAGGCCACTGTTTATCATTTGCACTCCACCCTGTGGACGTCGATGTAATGTTGATTCTGTCCAATTCACATGGCCTCAAATGCTGCTTTCCAGTGCAGCAGTTCATGCAGCCAGGGCCACCAGGTGCCACGGGCTGTCGTGTCTGTGGCCGTTCTGGCCATGGTAGGGCGATTTCTAGATGGCTTTGGGCTGCGGTGTAGTCACCCAACATGACTGCGGGTTGTGGCAAACCCAACTGCACTTAAGCCTACCAGGGCATTACATTTTTGGCTGCTTTGAATGGCTTCCGGGCACTGTTGCGTCTTGTATTATCACTCCAAGATAAATTGCCAACATTGTGTTATGATAAGAAGGCTTGAATATCCTATGGCAGCAGTAGCCAGTGCTGTTTACTGTTGACCACAGTGCTTTATCGCTGTTTGCTGCGTAGTACTGCAGGTTGGGATCTGTGGTCAATGCTGCTTTATTCACAGCCTGGGACTGTTCATTTACCCGCAGTTTGGCTACACGCCTCTCTTAAGGGCAGCAGAAAATGGACATGCTGTTGCTGTTGAATTGCTTTTGAACAGAGGGGCGCCTATCGATGCAGCTAACCAGGTGAGGTGATCTCTGGTATTGGTTTCTGGATCGAGGCTCTCAGTGCACTGTCTGGAAGATGTGGTTCCAACAGTGACTCTAAAGTTGGAAACTTGGCTCAACTTTTGTGTTTCATATTTCGTCTGGCTGTTCAATTGGCTCAGTTGCATGATGTTGCTGCTGGTACTTCTGTCAGTTGTGGTTGTTGCCAGTGCGGGTCATTGTGTACCACACTTTTTTTGGCTGTTGATGTGTAGTAGCATGGGCTAGGTTGTGTGGTTGAGGCTTTGTCTATTTAAGACCCAAAAGTGTTCTTTACCCTTAGGAGGCCTGCACCCCTCTATTGTCAGCAGCAGAGAATGGGCATGCTGCCGTTGTCGAGGCGCTCCTGAACAGAGGGGCGTCTGTTGATGCAACTGACCAGGTGAGGTGGCATATGGTTTTGTTCTCTCAATCAGCACTGTTAGCACACCATCCTTGAATGGACGTATCCCAACAGTGACTTTAGAGCTGCAAGCTTGGCTCATCATTGTGTGGCAGATTGTTTTTAACCGTTCAATTGATGTCTATGCGTCAGGTCACTGGTGGTATCTCTGTTGGTTGTGGTTGCTGCCATTGAGAGTTCACTGTGCGCTACAGTTGTTTTGCCTCTTTGATCCATAGTAGCACAGTCCAGTTGTGCGGCAGAGATTGCTTTGCTGAAAGAACTATTCAATTACCCCCAGGATGGCAACACTCCTCTCTTAAGGGCAGCGAAGAATGGATACGCTACCACTGCAGAGTTGCTCCTGAACAAAGGGGCATCTGTTGATGCACCTGACCAGGTGGGTTGATATATGTTATTGGTGTCTGAAGCGATGGCAAGGGTGCGCTGTCTTGGAAGGTATGGATTCCAACAGTGGTTGAAGAGTGGCAAATTGGATCACCTTTGTGGGTCAGATTCCATTGGCTGTGGAATTGAATTTAGAAATCGGGTCACTGCTGGTAGTTCTGTCGGTTGTGGTTGTGGTGAACTGTGTTTCATGCTCCCTTTTACTTCTGAAGCAGATGTTTGGTGCATAATAACCCTCCCCAAAATGTCTGGTTGTGGCTGCCTTACATCCTGGAACTGTGCATTTACCCTTAGGAGGCCTACACGCCGCTCTTATGGGCAGCAGGGAATGGGCATGCTCCCACTGTCGAGTTGCTCCTGAACAGAGGGGCGTCCATTGATGCAGTTGGACCGGTGAGGTGACCCCTTGTGTTGATTTCTGAATCAACACTGTTGGTGCACTCTTCTGGAAGATGTGAATCCTAACAGAGACTGCTTCCCAACAGGGACCCTAGTGCTGCAAACTTGCCTTGCCTCACCTGTGTGTTAGATTGCCTTGGCTGTTGAGTTGATTCACACTTCTCGGACCAGTGGTGGTGGCTGTGGGCTTTGCCATTGTGGGTTATTGTGTACAATACTGGCTTTTTTGGCTGTTTGATGCACAGTAACACGGGCCAGGATGTGTGCGTGGGGCTGCTTTACTCACAGACTGGACCTGTTTGATGTGCCCACAGTTGGGCTACACGCCTCTCTCATGGGCAGCACACAATGGACATGCTGCCACTGCTGAGCTGCTCCTGAACAGAGGGGCGTCCGTTGATGTGACCAACCAGGTGGGCTGAAGTATGATTTGATTGTGGGGAGGGGACAGTTGTGTTAATTGCTTTCCTAATAGCTACTTTTAGGAGCGAAACTCCTCCACATTGGTGCTCTGCATCGTACTAGACCATTGCAGGTTGGGTTGCTGGAGGACGTCCTGCAAGTTGTGGTTGTTGCCAATAGTGTTCATTGCGAGCCACTGTCCGGTCCATAGGGCGGCTGCACAATGGGATCACCTTACCTCTGGGCCCCATCGCTGAGATGTGATATGTGATAGACAGATTAGATGGCTCAATGCCTGGCCAATGCCACCTACGTTTGTGCCTGCAAATGACACATTGAAGACACTGATCAGAATGTCTTGAATTGGGAGTACACTGTGCCTTCTTGTGGAATAGACTATTTGCTGGACCAGTAGTCCTCACAACCAAAAGTTATTGTGCAATTTGTGGCAGCACCATTGTATGGCTCTGCAATTGGCAGCCATGGGTAGTTCAGAAGCTGTGTTTGACTTGGTCTTTTCCAAGTATGATGCTGTGCCACTGGAAGCCCAAAATGCAGTGTATGGGCTCTGGATTGCTCCTGTTGTGAAAGCACTCACTGAAGCAGCATGCAGAATTATCAGATTTTCCAATTTTCTGGAATTGTTGCATTGTGACCAGGATCCTTGCGTTGATGAACGCTTTCACTGTCAAGATAAGCCGCATACTTTTTGCATGTCTCAAAGGGGATTAAGGGATAAATTTGCACACCGCACAGACGTCTGAATCCCCAAATGCCATGCCTGAGTCAGCATGGAACTATGATGCAATTCATTGGGAAACCTATCAGGATTCCTGGCACCATTCTCAGGGCCTCAAAGCAAAACAAGCTCCCAATCTGCTTGGCTACTGTCATATTTGTGGGGCAGGCCTCAGGCCTGGACTGTTTTTTGTTTAATCTTGCATCATTGCTACGAATTGTGGCCAAGGTAGCGTGCGTGTCCATTGCTGATTGTTGGCATTGCTCCATGTGAAGAGTCAGTGGCCAGGTGTTTGAGGCCCTCAGTGTTGGATAAATGCTTCTGTGCATGCATTCATCGCCTGGCAGCTCGAGTCAAGTACCTTGAAGCTAGAGTGTGAGAGCAACAGAATGGCTTTGATGGGAGTTCGGGTTTATGTTCTGTCAACTGCGGAGTCATCCCAGGAATTCTTTCCACAACATGGAATAACTTAACATTGTGTAACTGCCTGTAGTAGGTATTTGGTCGATGCTGGTGCCATCAGCTCCCTGGGAAAGGGCAGTGAAATCGATGCAGCGAAATGTATGCGCCACCAGCAGTAGAATCCAAAGCACTGCAAAACTGAACCTGTAACAGCATTTTGTTGGCCACCAGGAAGGAAAGACCCCATTGATTATTGCTATGGAAAAGGGAGCATCTGAGATTGTGGAGTTGCTTCTGGGCCGTGGAGCACAAGTGGGCATTGAGGACAAGGTGCGTACTAGTTCATAAACAGCTGAACTTGTGGGGTATTAGCAGTTGGGGTGGATATCAATCGTATTCCCCATGCCCTCATAAGGGCTTCTGCACACTGGAAAGCCACCTGAGACGATGCAGATCGACTGCATCTGCTTCCTCTCTCCCACAATAGTATGTTGCAACCATCAAGACCAGTTCTGTTAAGGGCATCTATGGCATCCAATTGACAACGAGGGAGTATGGTTTTGGATAAGTATCTGGAGTGCACTCCATTCCGGCGACCCAAATGTGAACCTTCCCCCATGAACACCATGGCTGTACTCCATCCTGTGACCACATGAGCAAGCACTAATTGGACATGAAGCCACCACACAAACCATCAACCAATGTGCTGCGGTGGCTTAGGTTCCTCTCACACTGCATGCTTTCTAGGCATTGTGTCAGATTGCATGTGGCCATGCGCTGCCCATTGTGCCCAGAGATATGGTGCACCAGGGGATCAAGTTTTTGGCAGGCAGACTGCTTTTCCATCTGGCAATGAGCCTAGACAAAAGCTCCTGAAGCAGGCATGTTGGGCTTGGCTGTGTGGTTCATTCCCACTTGGCATACAAGGCGATGTGTCTGTGTGCTTCTGGTGCTAGGCACTGTGTGAGCAGCATGCCATTCTGAATGAAACGAGCAGCCAAACAATGCCACACCTAGGAACGCAAAGTCTGCAGCTCAGTGTGGGGTGGATTGGACTTTAACAGAACATTTCTGGTGTGTGCGTAAACTGATGCGTTACCTGTGTTTGCTGAATCTTCTGGTTCCTCACTGCAGAGTGGACGGGGGCCGACAGCACATGCAAGGGAACAGGGGCATCTGGCATTGGTCCAAAAGCTGTAAGTGCCTTGCAACAGCGATGAAAGTAGTTTGACAATGCCACTGGGGTTGTCAGGAGGAAGCATAACAGCCAACAGGCACATATGAGTGTGCAGTGTTGTGTTGGACCAGCTGTTCACCTCTTCTTCACGAAACTGGGGCCAATTGCTATTTTTTGTAATGAGGACAGTTGAGAAGATATTTGAGTGGCGATTGGTCTGGGTACTTCCAGCAGCATGGCCCAGTGCTCCACCAGAACAACCTGGCCAGGGGTACTGATTAGGCCACAGCAACTCCCTCGTACCCGACGTTATTGCTACAAACCAGTGAGTCTGTACACCCTGCAGTGACTTAGGCAGCATATTAACCCATTACAATTGCTGATCAGGGAGGCGGCAGCAGTCGAGCAAGGCGAGGCCATGGAGAGGGCAGAGGGCGAGTAGGGATTGTTGTGCAGGCTCCCAAATGTGCAGCAGTGTTGGCACTGGCCAACGCGATGTAGGAGACAATAAGAAAGCAAGCAGCGATCGTTGTGCACTGCTGGGCAACCTTTTGCGCAAGCTGCATATGAAGAGATCTTGAACTGTCGCTGCTGGAAGAGGGCCTCCCCTACAGTCCCATTGCTCATCCTCTGGTTGGAGATCTGTAGAAGGCCAAAAGCTGCAACACGTTGGGATACTTTTGTTGTTATTCTGCATGGCATCTGTCCAGCGTAGTGCCCGCAACGTGGGATTGGCTGTTGTTTGTAATGGGCAGTATGCCCGCTTTCCATTTGCTTGGCACAGCCTCCTTGCTGTGCGTCTGATCGGCCATTGAGATCAATTATGGCATGTTGATCCGACAGGCCGACGCCTTGCATTGAAGGGGATGCGCTTGTGTTGTTTAATCGTGCTCTTGATGAGTCCAAGGCTGGGCAGCTGCTCAGGGGATGACGCTGCACCGATTTGCTACTGTTATCATTGGCTAGAAAATCACACAAGTGGCCTGGAATAGAGAAGAGCCAAGAAGGGGCCCAACTTGCCCCTGAGTTGCTCGGGAAAACATTCTTGACCGCATCTACTGTTGGCATCAAGAGATGAAAAGGAATAGCTCTTATTCTGGCGTCTCCTCAGCCACTGCAGTGGCTGCTACACATGGTTAAGTCGTGTTGTTGATTGGCAGCGTCCGTTAAAATAGGCTACTACTGCAGACTACCCCGGAAAACCATTAGGCGATTGGACGCATGACATGGCTCCGATCTATCCCCATCACAGAACACAGCATCATAATGCTTGATGCCAAGGAATGGGGAGTAGGCGTTGGCTTCATGTCCATTTGATGTCAACCATGACAGATTCGCTGCAGGCCAAGCCCGCACAAGACATACCAAATGGGGCAGTGGCGGTTGCTGCAGTGTTTCGACATACTTCATCCAGATCTTCGTTTGTCATAATAGATGTATCTATGTGTGAGTTTCCCTTAGAAAAGACCATTAAAACAAATAGAGCACTCTCTCTTAGCATGGGCACCATGTATGTGGAGGGATTGAATAAGCCACTATCGGCTTCAAGAAGGTGTGCTGCTGCTCTGATGCCCTTGCCACTTTGAGCACCACTGAGTTGGCTGAGAGCCACCTTCGACACTGCGTACAAGCCGTTGCTCCATGGGCAAATGCCCAGAATACGATTCCAGCTGCTCAGTTTCGAACAGCACAGCCGACACATCGGCTGCCACTTTTCTATCAGCCTGGGAGCTGTCGTTTTGGTGCTGAAGTTGTCGGCGCAATCGATAATTGGTGGTGCCAAACATTGCCGATGTGAGGGAAGGAGTGCTGCTAGTTGTGGATTGAATCCATTGGGTGGGAAACTGGTGGCAAGTGTCCAGATAAGTTTGTGCGACTTGATTCTGGAGCCAGACAGAGGTCTACTACAGTACTCCCAAGGTAGAGATTGCATTGCAAGCCACCGATGGGTTGCAAGCGTCTGCACGGAAGCATTTGTTCTTTTATGATTCTAGTTTGACTACCCCACTAAGAATTGAAATGCTGCCCCAATTTCAAAGGAAGAAATGTGAGCCTATTGCCGTTTTGCACAAGGAGTCCTAGTGATGTTTGGGTTTGGAAGACTTACATTGCAAAGTTACAAACCAGTTGCTCCAGAACGTACATGCAATGCTGACAATCCAACTGGGCACTGCTTGCATCAAACGTTGTCTTTTCAATGGAAAGAAAACGGTTCTAGTAAAGGCAGAAAATTGGTGTTGCATTTCTTCTCTTTGCCGTGAAGGATGATCAACAGGCCTCTGAGTGGGATAAGAAGATCGCTTAAAAAGAGTGCGGCTCGTATCAGGAGAGCCTGCCTGCCTGGACTGTTAAGTTAGCAGCATATTTGTTGAATGTTGGACGGGTGTGACATGGACAAACTCCAATTACTCGCATATGGACTGTGCAGCGTGAGGACGGGTCGTGTATTGTGTTCATACAAGAAAGCAAAGGTGCCGGGTGCCGGGTTGATGAGCAGCAATACAAGCATGTGTGCTTCACATGCATCGTTCTGTATGTGTGCACGTTCCGCAGGTGGGATGGAGTTGCGAGCACGCCACTCTTGGTTCAATGTGGGGCTGTCACGAAGCAGGTGATGGACCGGACGTGTTTGCCAATTGCCAAGTTGCAACTTGCGCACAGCACCGACGCCGTTTCCAGCAGGGCTTTCGAAAGTGCTCGGAATTCGACAGGGAATGGACAGGTGCTTCCCTGTTTCGGGGCCGGGGGTCGGACTCCATTCTGGCGCCGCCGGCCCAGCTGAGATCTTGCCAGTCAGCTCGCGCGGGGCGGATCGGCCAGCGCCCAGCTGGTGGTGAGCTTGCGCAGCGGCGAGGGGGACGATCGGCGGATGGTTTCGTCGTCATCTTCGGGATCCGGCTGTGTCATCCGTGCTGGGTACTACAGGGAGCCCGCGGAGGGCGTGGGCAGCTGGTAGTGCGGCAAGGACGAAACGTTGGGCTTCTACGACAAGGAGGAGAAGAAGGGTGGTGCTGCTGAAGCGGCCGCCAAGCCGGCGCCCCGGAAGAAGACGCCCAGGAAGGGGGCGAAGAAGAGGGCTGCCAAGCCGCCCCTTAAGGCCAAGAGCCCGAGATGAAGGCCCGCGGGCCTCGGCGCGGTCCTGCCACTGGCGGCGGGTGTTCACCAACAGGTGCTACCTGGAGTCGCCCCTGTCGTCGGACCAAGAAGACGTGGGGGAGTCGGAGGACTGCAGCGAGCAGACGGTGGTGCCGGACGACTCGTCCTACTCGGGCCACGACGCCGTGGAGGGACCCTGCGCCAAGGACGGCTTGGTGCCCAAGGACTCCTTCATCGCCAAGAAAATCTCGCACGACCGGAAGGACAGCGACTACCTGATGAACGGATGGCTGAGTGTTTGAAGACCCACAACGCACACGCGCAACACACACGTGTGTGGAGAATCGTGTGGGGATGAACTTGGCGTCGCGAGATGTCGGAATTGCCCTTTCGGGCCGGCTGGGAGGGCGTCGGCATGGGAGCGGGGAAGCTGGCCGGTGTCCTCGGGGCGCCTCTGGGGCACCGAGCCCCGGGCCCCGGCGGCCCGAGCCTTGCGGAGGGCCCTCCGCTCGCAGCAAGGCCGCCGCAAGGACACGAGCTGCGCGAGCAGGCGATTGGCAGGAGATTAGGAAGAAAATCACACTGTGTTTTTACACCTACACAATGGATATGGGGTTAGCTATCAGCCGCGGCAGCGCCGAATTGTCCCTTTGGGGTGGTGTCATATTTGTCCCCTAGTGTGTTGAGAGCACTACCCAGCAGGTGCTCTGCGCCCCCCAATTGTCTATAACGGGGCGCATGTAGGCGAATTCCCCTCCTCCCTTGTTAGCTATTAGTTATTGCACCGATGTCGGGGCCAGGGCCACTGTTTATTTCGAATTTGGTGCATCCGCGAGGGGCAACCGGGTGTCTTGGCCCATTGTGCGAGGAGGAAACGAACGGTTTCACCATTTGTCTAGCGCGAATTCTGTGTTGTGATTGGGGAAATTGATGGCAATATACATACATCCCCAGCGAACCTCGGATTGAAGCGCACATCAACCATATTTGTATTAAGAGGAGCTTCACGTTTTCATGAGCCCATGGCTCTAAGTGACTCAAAACGAACCCTTGGACGATCAGTGGGGATCAAGGCCGATGAAGGTACACGGGAGTGGCAATACATGTGGGATCTTCGGCCGTGACTCTTAGTAGTAACCTTGCCCCGGACCCATGACTCATTGGCTGCCAAACTTGTCGTACCAAGCGATCTCTGCTTGATTGTAACCGCTCTGGACCCCCAATATGCCGGCCTTGTCATTCCAGTAATGCCAACCTTCCTTCCCACCTCCTGCGCAGGGCGCAGGTGAGCCGATCAGTGCGATGCGCGCATCGGCTCCAGCCGTAAGTCGCAATGCCAATGCCACAGCTGGACGTGTTAACCGATGATCAGGCCAGGGCCGACCCGGCTGCTATGGCGGAAGTAGCGGATCCATGATATATAGGCAAGTAAATACATAGCGGAGACACATTGACTCTTGATGGGAACGGGTCGGTCCAGCGATCAGATCGGCGGTGCCCAACCGGCCGCTGCTTGTAGCATCGACAGCTGTACATAGAATCCGCTACACAACGGATACGGAAGGGCCGATGGGTGATAGGTCCTTGGGCATAGTGCGCCTAGGGGGTCACGGTTTGTTGCCGGTTGCCGCCGGTGGTTCACGAGGATGTGGTCCAACGCCCCGCGCCCTGCCACGCCGTGCCCCGCTTTCATTCTTCTGCGGTCTTGCAGGGCTCCCGCAGCCGCGTGGCCGGACGGCACTCCGCCGATCGCTGTGTTTGGTAGCCGGGCGTTGCAGTGGGATGGAGCGGATCCAGGCAGAAGAGGTGAGTGGCGTATCGCGCAGGGGTGCTTTGCCGCGAGAAGGACCCCAAGGACCGACAGGGTAACGCGGAAACGGAGCAAGCGACCACTGCGCACACCAGCTGAGCGGCGCCGCTCTTCGCGGCTGATCGTAGTTGCAATGGATTCCCAGTGCTGCGGACTCGTACGGCTACCGATCTAAGGCCGGCGTCGCCCCTGGGTCGTCTTCCAGCGCGCTGTCGCCCTTCTCACTCCGTAGTCGCGCCCTGCTGGGTTTTGATGAATTTCACTTCCAGGCTATGTGAAAATCTCTATTCAGCAGTCGCCTTAGTCCCTGTGCTGTGTCGTTGTCGCGCTGTTCGCGAGTTGTAGCGTCTCATCGTCCTGCCGCGGAGCAATGTTTGCCGTTCGCTGGGTGTGGGCCAAATCACGTTAGGAAGCAGCCGATAGGGAGAGGGGACAGAGGGTTGGATGTTGCAATGGGCTGACAACGAAAGCGCGGTGGGAAGCAAAGTATTCCATAGAGACTTGCATTGGGCTGTTTGCGCCTTTGACGGCCGCGA